TTTTGAATAAACATTCTTTGTGAAAAAAAGGAGAATAGTACTTTAAATTAAAATCTTTCCATTACATATAAACTACCGATTATTTTTTACGAAAATTTGTAATCAGAGTACATATAAATGTAAATTTGACATCACAGTAAACCTTCTTAATATTGTTTGTTTTATTAATATCAAAATAAGTGAGAACCATAAATTATAACTAATTGAACATGATGATATCCAAAGGAAAAATATTATTAGGCCAGAGAATTAAACATAGTAGTATTGAAGCTCACAGAAGATGATGATATTTCCATATCACAATTGATTAAAATTAAAAATAAGGATCATTGTATCCTGGTTAAGTGGCTAAACGATATCGAATCTGTCGTGTAGCTCATAAGTTTTACTGTTATTGTAACTTACTAAATATTATCAAATTAGGATTAGAAAAAAGCATGGTGTCGATGTGTTTGACATGATTATCCATGATGAATCTGATGAATACGAAACTTACTTTTATGTTGATAATTAGTACTTAAACTATTTGTAGCAAGCCTGGAAGTCATCCTGATATGTTTCATGTATGAATGATGACAAGACTATTTAAAACTACTTCACAAACTATTTCTTTTACATAAATCATACACATGTGATTAGAGTTTAGAAATAGAGGAAATAGTACAATAATTCAACTAATTATTATATAGTAGATTATGTATTTAACAAAACATTCTATAAAAAAGTCATGTAAATATTATTAGCTTAATTCACCAATGCGGCATACTTTTCCAAATATAACTTACACTATAATTACAAAACTATAATCAAAAAATGCATTGTTGAACAATTAGTAATAAATGTCATTCTCAATACAATAAATTTGATGTAAATGTACAAAAATTCGAAAGGAAAACATAATTTTGCACATTAATTTAATAGCATACAAAATAACATGGATAAATTGTAGCTAACTACATATGTGAATAATATGATAAGAGATGATATGTTGTAGACATTTTGGTAAACATATCACATGGTGATTCACTTATTGTAAGCTCAATTAAGATACAAGTATTCGTTTTAATTTAATTTGATTTGATATAAATTAGATTTGAAAATGTCCTACAAGCAGTATCAGAAAAACTGTTGTACACAAAGAATAATGATTCATTTTTAATATCTTGACTGAAATAATTTACTCTAACAACTTTGTCGTGAAATGTAATCACATGTAGTAGTGAGATTAGAAAACAAAGTTGTTGACAAAAATGTAACATAATTTAGGTTCTAATGTAAAGGAGAAAAATGGGTAGTTTGGGTTCAAATGATATTTCATACTACCAATCTATATTTATTCCGAAGGAGTCAAATAAAATAAAGTCACAGATGAAAATCATTTCATTTCGTGGTCATAAGATGAATAAAATCGAGTCATCTTAAATGGTCTGTTGTACTTCATAATATCTGTACAACAAGGTTAACTATCACATGAAGATTTAACCGCTTTATTCAAAAGACTTCCTATATATTGATGATTGCCCATTGTCCACAAAATATGATAAACGACTATGTTGTGAATTCTCAGGTCCCTCCTTAAGTTTCATGCTTTCAAAGTTCCAATTTTTACATTTACGTTACAATCATGCAAATCCAGAGGATGTACACTTTTTCACGTAGCCTCATTACAAAAATAAAGTGTTTGATTCGGTTCTCGAACAAAGTAATGTTATACTATGCTAGAAACTTCGAGAAAAATCAATCAGATGATAATCGTATCTATCAGGTTTTTGAAATTGCTCCGATAAAATTTATTTATGGGGAAGAAAACTATAAAAGCTATAAATAATGATTATGCAATAAGAAATGTGGAATCAGAACTTCAAGATAGATTTGTTTTTAATTGCTATTTTACGAGCTGTTTATGAACAAATTTTGTAAAAAGTAAATGTATATTAAAAATAAGTAAACAAATTTTAAATTTATTGAATCTTTGCTAACAAACATGTGATAATCATCAAAACAAATAAAGATTAAATCACTGAAATATCCTTTCAATTCATAAATTTTCTAAGTATCATCGATAAACTGACTAGATTGAAACAACAAAAAAACAATAAATAACTATTCACTTAGAAAGTGATCTGATAAACGTAAACTAAGCATCATACTAAGTGAATAATTTACTACAGTTAAAACAGTAATTGTTGGTAATAAGAGCATTATTATCAGAAATTGAAATCATATGAAAATAAAATAAAAACAGGGCATCTAAGATGCGAAGACAAACCAAGTTGTATGAAAATACATAATTAAGATATGCAAAGTTGTGTATATTATACATCGAGCTATTGAGAAGTACTTAAAGATTGGTTTTCACCATCTTGTCTCATATAACACACATTGTTGAGTGTAGTAGTAAAATCTTTTAGATTACTAAGAATTAGTATAGTTCATATAGATTTCTCTCTCTCTTATTATCAGTGTTTATTTGTTACTTGATTCCTTAATTCAAATTATCTGGTCTTTTGTTACTACCAGTGTTGTAGAACGCCTTTCTACGTAAGGAATTTATTTTTTACTATATTTTATTTGTTCCATTGAATTTATCTAAAAATATACTATACTGATATGCAATCACGGAAACTTCCAAACTCTTTCATATATATGATTTTAATCCATTTGCATTGGAATTTTGAAATACTACAAGCCATAAGCAACTGATAAGAACCAAACAAGATAAAATGAATCCATACTACTCTGCTTAAATTCCTCTTTCAGTGTTAAAAAACCTATATATTTTAAACCACAAAGATAGTTGAATTACTAACCTTAATGAGAACAATTTAGTATGAAAAAATAAAGGTTATTTCTAGTCGCAAACATAAAATGGATATTCAGACGAATAAACAGCAGTACTAATGATTTGATAGGTTCAGATTTATGTGCCTGACTTCAGATCACATTCTAAATGTGAGAGCTGGCGATGCCATATGGTTGCCGAAACCGATGTCAGTGAAGCGAATTTCAAACTTACCGACTTCGTGATTGAAAATCAAATGCCTTAGATACTGAGCCACCGCTCTACTTGGCAACACTTACTAAAATAAATATAGAGATAAAATTTCAAAGACGATTGGAGACCTTATAAAGAAAGCATTAACAATGCATGAGAAGGTAACAGACTGAATAAGAATGGCTTATAGTAGCATAAACGCAGTACTCTAACGAAGGATGGACTAAAACAACACGACAGAAGTCTATTATTAAGGAAATATTTTAGTTATTTTACTAATCAATTGGACAAACTGATTAATTGCGCAGATTTTTAGAACCAGTGATTATTTAGATTTATTTTTATGTATTCAAAGATAAAATAACCGCTAGCCATAAACCTAAATCATACACTTAATTTATAAAGGACAATGTTGATGATCAACAAAATATTAAATGATGCACTTTTATGAATATGTTCCAAAGTCAAGTTGGGTCACTTGTGCCAAACAGAACATTTAAATATTATTAACAAATTTGCAAGAAAAATTACAATTTTAATTACAACAGTATCTCACACTGTACTTGTTAATTGTCGAAATGATTAATTTGGTAAAATGTAAAGGAAGAACTAGTTTTTAGGATTTCATAAGCTCTAAGTTGTATACAAATATATAATTTCAATTCAATCGCCTTGGGAAACTTAAAATACTTCAACAACTAGACAAGCTTTTATTCATTTAGATTAGAGAACTTTATGGATGACGAACAAATGAAATCGTATCCATCGATGCGAAAAAATCCTTAACAAGTTTTATTATCTTGATAATTAAGTTTGACAATATTCTCTTTCACAGATTTAAATCATGAGTCAGTTGAAGCTAGACCACCATTGAAAACCTGGAAGCACTGGACGGCCGTTTCGTCCGAGTATGGGACTCCTCAGCAGTGCGCATCCACGATCCCGCACCACGAGGGGCTCGAACCCGGAACCTACCGGCTTCGCGCGCGAGCACTTAACCATTAGACCACTGAGCCGGCATCCAACGGTGTTAATGTCTAACTTCAACCAACTGACTCATGATTTAAATCTGTGAAAATTTCTAAAATCTCCACAAACCCCTTCTGATAATATTCTCTTTATTGAACATTATATTTTCGCACAGATAATTTTCCAATTAGGATAAAATATGGAAATTATATGAATTTTAATAGTTGAATTCCTGATCCTGAATTCCTAGACCACTATTGAAAACTTGAGGGCACTGGATGGCCGTTTCGTCCTAGTATAAGACTCCTTAGCGATGTACATCCACAACTCTGAACGTGTCACCTAAACCCACGACCTTTGTTGTTGCGCGCGAACCCTGAACCTCTGAACCAATGAGCCGGCATTCAACGACGTTAATCTCTGACTTTAATCGACACATGATCTTGCGCAGCCCAAGAGGTTAAGCGTTAGAGCGCAAGACCAAAGGTTCTGAGCTTGAGTCTCAAGTGAGGGATCGTGGATGCGCACTCCTGAGGAGTCCCATACTGGAACGAAACGGTCGTCCAGTGCTTTCAGGTTTTCGATGTTGGTATAGATTAGACCGACTCACAAATATAACTATTAAAATTACTACAATCTCCAGAAATCCTCAATCTTATAATAATGTAATTGCCATTAACTCATCATATTTTACATTATGTTTGTTTACTATGATTAAATTGTTTGTTTTTTCCCCATTTTACAGTGACCTGCTATTTTAACTGTTAAATGTAATTATTCCTCTAGAATACATTTTTCACATAAGATAATCAAAAACACATTTCAGAGGATTTCTCAGTTTTATCTGAACTTTGATAATACCAGTTATACTATGTTATCGCTTTCCTTTCAATTGTAAAGCATTCGAAATACTTCATTAATTGAACTGGTGAAATAAACATCAAAATACAAAGTTAGCAATTTTTAAAACTATTCCCTGAACAGTAGTGATACATTTTCATTAATAAACAACAATTGAAAGGAAAAATTGTCTTACCATTTTGTATATTATTGTTATTATTACCAGTATTAGTATTATTCTCATTTGTATCACTATAATTTCCACTGATGACATTTTGTCCTCTCCATTTTCTTCTATTATCACATGAAGATGATGATGGCGATGACAATGTGGCTGTAATTGCTCCTGATGTTGATTGATTTATGATTGTTTCATTAAGTTGATCGTTTATGGATGATGCTGTATGAATTGGTGTTTGTTTATTTGGTGAATGTTGTGGTGTTTGTGTACGACTGGGTAAATCAGCTAAACAATTTGTGACCATATGAACTAATGCTTTACCATCATCTGATAAAGCTGCATGAAATTGAAAAATCAATAAACTTCCAACACCTGATGAACCAGAACGTCGACATACAAATGAATTTAAATTTCTCTTACTATCATTATTATTAGTAGTATATGTTTGATTATAATTATTTATTAAACACTTTTTTGTTTTATTCAATTTTTCTGTATTATTATTCATAGGTTTACGACTAGAATGTGATGTTTTGCATGTGTTAGATTCATCAGAATCAGCATCACTTTCAATATCTGACGGTTCTGTTGTTTCATCACAATCATTCTATATATTAAGAGAAAGTACAAAAAAAAAACTTATTTTAAAAGAAATGGACTACTTTTAAATGTAAACTTAAAATTAGAAAATCTCAAATGTATTAAATACAATATAGTCAGTCTATCATAATATTTGAATGCAGAGTAATGCAACACACAGTCAAATTGATCATAGTGAATAAATTTATTCAATTGTTTACATTTTTAGTACATTATTTAAATTTAAAGCTTAGTACGATTTAGTGCCAACCATTGTTAATATTTTGAAATAAAAGTTTGACTGGATTTGAATAATCACAAAATATTCTGTAAACTGTAAGTCATTTTAGTGAGAGTTAATTTTTTTGACAGATTTATACAACTAACATTTATTGTTTTAATTGAAGAGAGGATTATTCATTTTAAATAAATCTAAAAGACTAACAAAGATTTTTAAATAGTTTAAAATAATTTTTTAAAAAAACGTAAAACTAATAGTTTACATGATACAAATCAATCATTATGTAAACTAATTGGAGAGAATCAATACACTTATTCACTTATGTTATTAACATTGTTATTATCGATCTAGTTGAGTGAATATAATCAGTAAAATACATTTTTGGGCAAAAGGTGGACATTAAATATATTCTGTATAATGAGGGGGTTAATTGGGGAAATAATTACCTTGCATCCTGGATCATGTATGAAAAAAAAACCACTATTCTCTTCTGTTTGATTTTCTCAAAGTGTTTAATTGAATTAATATGTATATTTTAAAATATTTTAAAAATGAAATAATCGAAAATTTCAATCTTGAAATAACATATGACAGAAGTGCAAATATGGTCTAAGTTTATTGAAAGCATTTTCGAAAATATTGTCATTCTATCTATAAACTTTAAAAAGAAATTATAATCAAATCTTTCAAACAAAAGGGTCAATTAATGAGAAATGTAGAAAATCTTTAACAGGGAACAAAGATTTATGTAAACATGTGTAAATGTCAATTTACTAAATACAAATGATGACTAATGATCATTTGTAATATTATTCTGTATATATAGTTAGGTATGTACATGCTACAACAAGAATGTCTAAATTATTAACTCATCAAAAAGTCCTTATCAACGTTCTATCACCACATCAATTAAGTTTAAGTGAAATACACACGAAAAAATATACAAACTTATAGTATTCTAAAATTTTTTCTCCGTGGATAATGTATGATCGAGAAAAACGTTTTCAACTACATTAAGTAGTAATAATAATAGTGAATACTATCAATAAAATTAAACAATTTTTCAAAAATAAGTTAAGCCTGAACATATTAATTATTATACGATTAATATGAAGGAATTAAAAATGATGATGCAGTAAAAAGTAGGCATTATATATATATATATATATATATATATATATATATATATATATATATGCCATCGTTTGCAGTCTGTTATTTCTAAAATTAAAAACTAATTTGTTCAGTGACAAAAAATTCTAGTAAAGTAACATTACCACTACTATTAGTTGGCAAAATAGTAGTAAGTGAATTGAAATGATCTAAATAATAATACATTTCATTGATTAATATAAATAGATGCATTTGTGGATGACTTAGAGTACACGAAATAAAATGAATTCATTTCGTTCCTCAATGTACATGATTCTTAATTTACAAAAGTTTGTCACGGAAACCAATTGCGTGAAAAAAATAATAGTTGAGAATCAATTACACCGAGAAATGTCTATAGTAAGCGAACCTAAGATCAATTAGACGAGAAGAATAAAATGACCATTTCTAACTCAATTTTTTTCTAGAGAATAGATTGTTGCAATAAATCTACGATCCCTTTCCAGAAAGTGATAAACAACTAAAAATGTAAAATATCAACAACAAAGTTCAGGTTAGAAGTTAATGTCACGTACTGATCTTAGTTAGACAACCACTGGAAACCAAGAAGCTCTGAACAGTCGTTTTATCCCAGTATGAAATATCTCAAAAGGAACCATTCATAACATATCAAACTCAGGACTTCCATGTATTACAGTGAGCGCTCAACCTGTACACCATTGAACCAGGATCAAATGATATACATGTCTAACTCCAATGAATTCGCGATACTGCATGAGCATCGTTGATTGTTATTCCCGACATGTTCGAAGTTCACTGGTCACGCATCTCATTCGAACTATAGCAATTACACATAGATGTTAATCGCTGGTCACAAAAATTCAACAGTTTTCACAAGTCTCTACAATACTAAAAAGTCTACAACGAATATCCAGTGTTTTTATTAATATACCATTTTTACCTAAGTTTAACTACACATTTTGTTCGTGTTATTATTACTGTGATTTTCGGTTTCATTTCAAATATTCGTTTATACTTCACTAAATTATATATATATATATATATATATATATATATATATATATATATATATATATATATATATATATACAACTTGATTTCATGTATTTCGTTATACAACCTACTATGCTCGAAACTTTGCATAGAAAAGAAAATGCTATTGTTGATTTTTACTTTATACCTCTTGTAAAATATCTGAAAAGGGACTGTGAAATATAATTTTTTTAACTATGCTTATTGAGTTAACATAATGATCATAAATTTTAATTCGTTTTAAGAAATAAGAACCAAAGTACTTGAAATATGTTTTAGTGGTCTGATTTGCCTTAATTCAAAATAATTGAGAAGAAAGTACATAATAATGAAAGTAAAGCATCAAGATATCCATGAATGATGCTGTTCAAATTGATGTCTTTTGATTTAATAATTCTTATACCAAATGGTACAATACACAATAATGCATTTTTAAACAGTAACACAATTGAAGACTAATCCCTGGTTTTGGTGATTACGCGAAATGATCACAGAAAGATATTTAAAAATACTGAATCACTTTACAACAACCATGAACTTCAAACTTCTGTTTTCAAATAATCAATTCAAAAGTATTGCTTCAGACCATAAATAATATTTTGTACAAATATATTGTATTGAAAAATGAATAATTATATGGTGAAATCAATTCTTATGACTGGATCACTGACAAGGACTACAGCTATATTTTGGTCACTATATTAAAGACTGGTATTTTTAAATAATTTCGATATATAAGAAACCGATCACTAGCTGACTGACTTAGTAATAATGCGTTCGTATTTAGCTCTAAAACAAATGAATTAAACCAAAGAATATTAGAAATATCCAAAATGTATGTCCAAATAGACAGCAATTCAATAATCATCATTTTCTTTGCCAATAAAAATGTGGATAAGTATGCCAGAATATATTTGCATAGCTTAGCAACATGCTAAGTATATCTAGATGTAAAATAATTAACGATGGCAAATTTAGTAAATTAAGCAAGTGACAACTACTACATGGTGTAATCTACAAGATGAAAATATCACATTTAACAATGATCAATGAGTACTGTGTGCAAAACTATCAAAAATAGTCTGCCCTCTCTCTCTCTCTCTCTCTCTCTCTCTCTATATATATATATATATATATATATATATATATATATATATCAAATGAATGATACATTATACAAAACACTATGTAACTTTTCAGTAAGCAGAACTTTGATAGTTTTCTTATTACGTAAATAAGATGATCACGATGCGTTAAAAGATTGTTGTGAAATAAATGATAATGTATATTACTGTTTCATGAGTTCAAACCGAATACTCAAAGTACATTTATTTCTTATCTTTCTAATGTTGAATCATGTTTTGTAGAATTTTATTTTACCAATGAAACTGTTTCTGTTCCTTGATTTACTTGTATGCAATGACTGTATCAAAGTGTACAATATTTCGAGCAATCTGCAGACTTAGTAATCAGTTAATAGTATTTTTTAAGAAAAAGAGAATTCAGTCAAGAAAATTTTCTTTTCGACGAAATCATTTACTTAAGCTGTACATTCGTATATTTAGTTATTTGGAAAATATATGTCTATAGGAGGATAGAAAAGATTGCATCACAAAAATGGATTCGAGACTAAATAACAAATGAGGTTACGTACTTATCATATAAGCCTAACAACATAGTTTTCTGATATTAGCGAAATCTAAAAATGTTATTGATTGTCTCATCTACATGACAAATGAAATAAATAATTATCGTTTAGAATATTTGGATATAAAAAAAAAAACCCAGATAATTGATATCAGTCGGGTCTATTTATTTAAATCATTAAACATGGTATAACAAATATGTATATGTTTATGACTTATTAGCAAGTTTCATGATTAATCGTTTGTTAATTCAATTACTTGTATTACTTCTGATTTCGTCTTTCCATTACCTAATTAAAATATTTTCAAAGAAAAACTAGTTTTTCGGGAATTTTTCCTTCCTTTACTTACCTTGTTATTTGTTTCTCAATTTTGATTGTACATCCAAAGAATCTGACTTAAAGACAGACAGGAAACTAAAAGACGAATAGAATATTTTGTTTTCTTTCTAATGACAGAGGAGATTATGGAAACTTCACAGTATTAACTTGAAATTGTCGATGTATTGTGCTCAATTTTTAAAAAACCATTTAGTTGGGATATGAAAATATTGAACTTCACTGAAGATAATAGATAATGGTACTGCACTATCATGAATTGATTGAAGTCAGACATTAACATCGTTGGACGCAGTTTCAGTGGTCTAAAGGTTAGGGGTTTGCGCGCAACGACAAAGGTCCTGGGTTTAAGTGACACGTTTGGTGTCGTGGATGTGCACTACTAAAAGTCTTATACTAGGACGACACGGAGATTCAGTGCTTCTACGATTTCAATCGTCGTCGAACATTGGTCGGTTCAAGAGTAAAATGAGAAATAAAAATATTTTACCAAAGGAATACACTTGGTTTGAATATATTTTAATGGTGTTTGGATAGCATTTTTCAAAATATGTTTGAAAGAAATTGAAAAAGAATTTTTATGATCAAGTAACTTAATTATTTGACTATCTATATACTCTTAACAGAACATATTTTA